GTATCCTGTATCCTGTATCATGTACCCTGTATCATGTATCCAGTATCCAGTATCATGCACCTAGTATCATGTACCCAGTATTTAGTTTGTATATATGTATGAAGCCAATTTTTTACAGATTGATTCTTGCTGAAGAAGTTTAAACCCTCTTACATGAACTGAACACAAAAGACAATGAATGAAAAATTGAATTTTAATGGTTTTTTTCAAAAATGGGATTTTTTTTCGAAAATTATGCTGATTGTACAGATTTTTAAAAAATGTACGGATCTTTAAAAAAATGTACGGATTGGTTTAAAAAAATGTACGGATTGTACGGATTTTTTTAAAAAAAATTGTACGGATTGTACGGATTGTTTTTCGAAAATTGTACGGATTGTACGGATTTCTTCTGAAAATGTACGGATTTTTGTACGGATGGGTTCAAAAAAGTTTTGGCCACCCTACTTGATTTGATTTGGATATTTTTTTAAATTTTGTTTAAAAATGATTTTGCTTAGATACTCCTGGTATATCTAAACCTAATGTAAAGAATATGCATGATGGTTTGAAGCTTGCTGTCTGCAACACCTTAAACGATAGAGTGGTGGGGGAGGAGTATATTTGGTAACAAACATTTTTTTATCAATCGCCAATGTCTAAATTTTACGAATACTAAAAATCAATCGTCAATATTTGAATTTTGTCAATTATCAGCGATATAAGAGATTTTATTTTCATGTTATTTAGCTATTCAGACAGTATCTTTCTGATTATTCTTAATTGTTTATATGTTAAAATCAACATTATTCTTCTCATGTATTGTTGTCCTGAACTATTTCACCCTTATTACTTTTCCTGTGATCCATATCTTTATACTTTTATTGTCAATTTGTTTTAGCTGTCCTTTTGTCCTTGAAAATTTTTTGTATTTTTTGTGTTTGTTTGTGTCTTCGGCCTATTCTTTGTTTTGGTCCTTGTCCGTGACATATTCCTTGTTATGATTATTATCATAGACTTATTCTATGTTTTGGTCCTTGTCCTTGGAGCGGGGGAAGGCAGTCGGCCATGAGCCACCACTATTTCCCCTTCCGTACCACATATTAGCTTTTTTCTCTTCCGGCAGCCATGAGCCACTACTATTTCTCCTTCCGTGCCACCACATTTGACTCCTCCGGGCAAAACTACTTTTTTAAATGGTATATTTAGGGCCTTTAAAGTGTGATTTTAAAAAATCCAGCCGCGTCACGCAAAAAAGCACAACTCAAACCATTTTTTCAATTCTACTTAAGATTAATATTTTGTGTTTTGAATTCATAAACTGTTTTACAATGAAATTTTTGACACATTTGACTGAGTATTGCATCTTGAAATATCACAAAGTCTAATGGTTATTCAATTACTGACTCATTATACTAAATCCTTCTTAAAATCACTCATTAACCAACTGTGATATTTCAAGATGCAATACTCAGTCAAATTTGTCAAAAATTTCATTGTAAAACATTTAAGGAATTCAACACACATAATATTAATCTCAAGTAGAATTAAAAAAAATGGTTTGAGTTGTGTTTTTTTGCGTGACGCGGCTGGATTTTTTAAAGTCGCACTTTAAAGGCCCTAAATATACCATTTAAAAAGTAGTTTTGCCCGGAAGAGTCAAATTTGGTGGTACAGAAGGGGAAATAGTGGTGGCTCGAGGCTGCCGGAAAAGAAAAAAATCTAATATTTGGCACGGAAGGGGAAATAGTGGTGGCTCATGGCCGCCTGCCTTCCCCCGCTCGTCCTTGACCTATTTTTTGTTTCAGTTCTTATCCTTGACATATTCTGTGTATTTCTTATATTTGACCCATATTCTTTGTGTTGGGTATTATTTGTTTTGCTCCTTGTCCTTTTCTTTTTTTGATCTTGCATTGTCATTGTCTTTGACCTATACCTATTCTATGTTTTGGTTCTTGTCTTGGACCTATTCTGTGTTTTGGTTCTATGCTTGACCTATTCTTTGTTATGCTCATTGTCAGACGTCATAGACATAATCTATGTTTAGGTTCTTGTCCTTAACCTATTTTTTGTTTAAGTTCTTGTCCTTGGCCTATTCTGTGTTTTAGTCCTCGTCTTTGAACTATTTTCTTTGCTTTGGTGATTTTTAACTTTTTGCACCCTGCGACTTTTTCTATTAAATTTTCCTTATTGTTTTACTTCTTTTTGACCTATACCTATTCTATGTTTTGGTTCTTGTCCTGGACCTATTCTGCGTTTTGGTCCTCGATTTTGATCTTTTCTTTGTTTTTTTCCTAGACTTTTACCTATTTTGTGTTTTGGTCCTTGTCTTTGACCCATTCTTTGTCTTTGTCCTTGTCTTTAACCTGTTCTACGTTTTAATCATGTCACACTCACAAACTACTGTTGTGTATTCTAGTGATTATTTACTGTGGTTCTTAAACTCTCATCATTACTTTGATTATGTTGATTATATGGGACTAAAACAACCAGAGGATGACAATATTATGATGCTTGCCAAGGTATGATTACTTAGATTATGCTGATTCAATGCTCGAACATTTTTTCTTTCATTAATTTCTTGATTCAAAGATTCATTGATGCATTGAGTCCTTGATTCAAAAATTCAATTATTCATAGATTCAATAATTCATTGATTCCATTATTCATTGATTCCATTATTCATTGATTCCTTGATTCCTTGATTCCTTGATTCAATAATTCAACTATTCATTGATTCAATTATTCAGTGATTCAATTATTCATTGATTCAATTATTCATTGATTCAATTATTCATTAATTCAATTATTCATTAATTCAATTATTCATTGGTTCAAGTATTCATAGATTCAATTATTCATTGAATTAATTCTTCATTGATTTGATTATTCATTGATTCAATTCTTCATTGATTTAATTATTCATTGATTCAATTCTTCATTGATTTAATTATTCATTGATTCAATTATTCATTGATACAATTATTCATTGATTCAATTATTCATTGATTCAATTATTCATTGATTCAATTTCTCATTGATTCAATTATTCATTGATTTATTGATTTAATTATTCATTGATTCAATTATTCATTGATTTAATTATTCATTGATTCAATTATTCATTGATTCAATTATTCATTGATTCAATTATTCATTGAATTAATTATTCATTGATTTAATTATTCATTGATTCAATTTTTCATTGATTCAATTATTCATTGATTAAATTATTCAATGATTCAATTATTCATTGATTTAATTATTCATTGATTTAATTATTCATTGATTCAATTATTCATTGATTCAATTATTCATTGATTTAATTATTCATTGATTCAATTATTCATTGATTCAATTATTCATTGATTCAATTATTCATTGATTCAATTATTCAATGATTCAATTATTCATTGATTTAATTATTCATTGATTCAATTATTCATTGAATTAATTCTTCATTGATTTAATTATTCATTGATTCAATTATTCATTGTTTCAATTTTTCACTGATTCAATTATTCATTGATTTATTCATTGATTCAATTATTCATTGAATTAATTCTTCATTGATTTAATTATTCATTGCTTCAATTTTTCATTGATTCAATTATTCATTGATTCAATTATTCATTGATTTAACTATTCATTGATTTAATTATTCATTAATTTAATTACTCATTGATTTAATTTTTCATTAATTCAATTTTGCTTTAATTCAATTATTCATTGATTTAATGAATCAAATAATTAATTGATTGTTTATTCTAGAGTGCATTGGCAGCTGGAAAAACAAGAAAGCAAACAACCCTGGGAACATCTTCCATAATGCCAGATTTTAAATATTCATCCCAGGAACATAATTAAACTTACAACTAGGAACTTTAAAGGGGCGTTAGACATCATTTCAAGTAACCTTTATTTTTGTAGATGGCATGTCCGATTCACCACGGTACACTTAAAATCATTGTAGGTTCTAGAATATATTTTTCTCTATTTGAAAATTGAGGATTACTCCTAGCAACTATTTATTTTCAGTAAGAGTCTTCATTTAAATCATTTTAAAATTATTTAAATTGCGTTTTTTTTTATTAAAGTCACTTCGGCCTTCTGCTACTGAAACTGTCAAGGAAAAAGTCAGAATTAATCATTTGTTTAAAGCTAGGAAACCTACGATAACTTCCAAATTGTTGAAAGCATGTTTGAAACTTATTGAAAATTTGGTGGTTTTTATGTTTAAACATAAAGTTTTAAGTTTGATTTTGTTCAGTTGTTTCTGAAAGGATTCAGAGAAGGAAAATTTGGAAGGAAAATTGACAAATTAATATTTTCGTTTATTCTTGTAAAAACCAATTTGCCTCAAATTTTGATCGGGAAATTCAGCCGCATCACGGGAATATAATTAAGTTGAGTAGATTGACTTTTTACGGGTAAACTTAGCTTGCAGACAGAGATGGGTTCCCAAGTTAGTTTATATTTATAGATTAGCTTGTGAAATCAGCTTTGTCTAGAGTTTTACTTATTAAAGTCAACCTATTTAACTTAAAGTTTCAAGTTAAGAACAGTCACATGGTTCTACCGAGTTTTCCAATCAAAATGTTAGGAAAACCGATTCAGTAGGTTCTTAAGTTAGGATTGGACATCCAAAAAAAAGACAAACAGAATCTACTATTTTATGAATATATATAATAATATGTGTCACTTAATTTGTCTGTGTGATAGAATTAACTTGGATGAGGATCAGCTGAATTTAGAAACTTTAACGCGAGGCAGCGAATAAAGAGTGTTTACAAAAAGTGAACGAGATGAATATGAAGAATCAAGAATTAACATTTTCTGACGAGTTACATAAATAAATTTTAACGTAATTATTCTTTTTTTAATCATTTGTTTGAAAAGTGCATAGGTTTCCAATACTAAATTAATGATAATTTCAGATAAAATGCAGCTCGTTAATCATCTTGTTAAGGATTCCCTTCCTAACTATCTATCTAGTCTACCCATCCCAGATACAATACTAGGTATATATTTAATCCCAGATACATTACTAGGTATATTTTTAATCCCCGATACAGTACTAGGTATATATTTAATCCTAGATACATTACTAATTATATTTTTAATCCCAGATACAGTACTAGGTGTACATTTAATCCCAGATACATTACTAGGTATATTTTTAATCCCAGATACAGTACTAGGTATATATTTAATCCTAGATACATTACTAGGTATATTTTTAATCCCAGATACAGTACTAGGTGTATATTTAATCCTAGATACAGTACTAGGTATATATTTAATTCCAGATATAGTCCTCGGTATATATTTTATCAAAGATAACTTACTAGATATATATTTATTCCCAGATACAGTACCAGGTATATATTTAATCCCAGATATAGTCCTCGGTATATATTTTATCAAAGATAACTTACTAGGTATATATTTAATCCCAGGTACAGTACTAGGTATATATTTAATCCTAGATACATTACCAGGTATATATTTAATCTCAGATAGAATATAACTTTAGATACATAACGTTTGAAAATGTTTTTCGCTTAAACCTTATTAAAATTGAAAGAATATTTATGGACAAACACGTTTACTTTGCTTTATCTGTACTTTCTATTTTCAATTATTTAGAAAGAACTTTTTTAGAATTATTAAATTCAGGATGGTTCAGTCTTGGTGTTGGGGATTGGATGAAATTGATTCCATTTGGAGTAGCTGTCGGTGGACTTTCATATCTTTCCCTTCAGGTAGGATTATTAAGGTTAGGGTTAATTTCATTCTACTTCATATCTGTCCCTTCAGGTAGAATTCTTACGGTTGGTGTTAATTTCATTTATCTTTCATATCTTTCCCTTCAGGTAGGATTATTTAGGTTAGAGTTAATTTCATTCTACTTTCATATCTTTCCCTTCAGGTAGGATTATTTAGGTTGGGTTAATTTCATTCTACTTTCATATCTTTCCCTTCAGGTAGGATTATTTAGGTTAGAGTTAATTTCATTCTGCTTGCATATCTTTCCCTTCAGGTAGGATTATTTAGGTCAGGGTTAATTTCATTCTACTTTCATATCTTTCCCTTCAAGAAGGATTATTTAGGTTAGGGTTAATTTCATTCTACTTTTATGTCTTTCCCTTCAGGTAGGATTATTAAGGTTAGGGTTTATTTCATTCTGCTTTCATATCTTTCCCTTCAGGTAGGATTATTTAGGTTAGGGTTAATTTCATTCTACTTTCATATCTTTCCCTTCAGGTAAGATTATTTAGGTCAGGGTTTATTTCATTTTACTTGCATATATTTCCCTTCAGGTAGGATTATTAAGGTTAGGGTTAACTTCATTCTACTTACATACTTTTCCCTTCAGGTAGGATTATTTAGGTTGGTGTTAATTTCATTCTACTTTCATACCTTTCCCTTCAGGTAGGATTATTAAGGTTAGGGTTAATTTCATTCTACTTACATACTTTTCCCATCAGGTAGGATTATTTAGGTTGGGGTTTATTTCATTCTAATTTCATACCTTTCCCTTCAGGTAGGATTATTAAGGTTAGGGTTAATTTCATTCTTCTTACATACTTTTCCCTTCAGGTAGGATTATTTAGGTTGGTGTTAATTTCATTCTACTTTCATATCTTTCCCTTCAGGTAGGATTATTTAGGTTGGTGTTAATTTCATTCCACTTTCATATCTTTCCCTTCAGGTAGGATTATTTAGGTTGGTGTTAATTTCATTCTACTTTCATATCTTTCCCTTCAGGTTGGGGTTGACTAACAACACTCCTGTGGTTTATTAAAGGGCTTGCTAACATTCCTGTGGGTTTTTAGGGGCTCGCTAACACTCCTGTGGTTGGACCCCATATCAAGGAGAAACTAAACTGTATCCTAGGAAACCAAACTATTAATAAATATTTTATTTATTTCAATGATAAATAAAAAAAAAATATTTTCATCTGTCAAAATTTCACTTACTCAATTAATAAGAAGATAATACTTTTTTGAAGAAAATTTTTTATGAGATAGACTTACGAACTTGATTTAAATGTTCTGGTTTGAGCAGGTCAGGCCCCTGCAAGGGTCAACTCATGTATTCAGATGGACTGCCCTAAAGTCGTGGACACCATTGACATAGAGGTAATCATTATTATTTCATTCAAACATTTCGACAAGTTAAGTACAAGTAATTACTAATGAAAATAATTAGCATACAGTACAGTCTACAAATATTGCAACATTGATTCCTGTGGACGTCCTTGTTAAAATTTTGCACATTTTGATTGACTTGATCTGATCAATCGTCAGGATATCAGTGAGAAAGCTGTATTGTGCCGCTGCTGGAAGTCCAAGAAGTTTCCATACTGTGACGGGACCCACGCCAAGCACAACAAGGAGACCGGGGACAACGTTGGACCGATCATCGTCAAGAAGTCCGCTTAACCGTGCCTGCATTAGAGGGTCGGCGGCATAGGGTTATCAGGATCATCACTTAAGGAAATCAGACCAAATTTGATATGCTTTATTTCATTTTTTCTAAACATCATTTACAATTTTAACTCCCCAAGTGACTTTGCCTTTGGAAGGTTTAATAAAAGGGTTTTTAGTAGAGCCGGACGCCTTCGTATTTTTTATTTCGTTAGTTATTTTCAATCGTTTAAAAAAAAAATTCATTAGTTTCCAAAATTATCGTTAATTTTCGTTGATTTTTTTTACTTTACGATCGTTTAGTAAAATAATTCCTTCATTAATAAACGATAGTTTTGTTAAAAGTTGGTTCGAAAATGTCGTTCGTTCATTAAAAATCTATCGTTTCTTGAAAATTATGTTCCAAAATATCGTTCTTTCAATAAAAAATCTGTTATCATTCGTTTTTGTTTTTGTTTGTTTTTAAAAACTATCGTTTTTTCAATTCTCTTTAGTATCCAAGTCGTTCGTCCATCGTTTTTTTTCTGGACGCCACCATCGTTCACGAAAACTTTTGTTCGTTCTCATAAATTTCGGATGTTCATAAAACAATGTCCATCTCTAGTTTTTTGTTATTATTTTCAAATTTTCCAATCTGTCAAATATATTTTATTTTGTCTGTCTCCTAGAAACCTATGCAAGAAGAAACCACGTAGTCGTCCAGTGTAGATTTATTGATTCTAACTTGATCCATTTAACATATTTTTCTTTATTTTGCTAATTTCAAGTAACCAGTGCTTGGATCCGGATCCATTAAATATGCAATCTATTAGTGCTGTAAATCCGTAACAAAATGGCGATATTTAATCAAGTACAAAGTTGACGATCTCAACTAAATATCATCATCATAATTTTATAAAAATATCATATATAGAAAAACAAATTTCGGAGTTGGATTGTATCTAAAGCACTTTATGTAACAAAAGAAAAATCTAATACAATTGTTTGATCAAAATTTTGATGTTATAATAAATCCATAAATTAATCTGTAATTTTCTTAAATATTTCCAGAATTATAAATATGACCTTGTGTGTGAAATGTTCCAAAATGACTCTGAACGATATAATATCTCTGGATGTGGGTGGAACAAGGTGACATTTCTAAATTATATTCTTAGTTGGGAACTTTTGAATGCAGGGATTTAGCTTACTTTTATCCCTACTTCCTCCAAAAGCTCAGCCTAAACTGTTTCTTTAATAACTTATTCAAAATCTGTCATAAATGTAAGATAGTTTAATTTATCGAGTTTAAGTTTTGTAGCTGTTTAGTTTAAGTGACCCTCCATGCAAAGATGGCAATGCCCGATTTACAACGGTACCCTTTTAAACTTTGACTGTTTATATCGAGGACTGAATACATCCTGTTGACATCTCTCAAATATTGGTATAATTCCCGTAAATCCGGAGTATACGCTATCCTACAGTGTGAACTTAACTCGGCTGAAGACACAAAATAGTTAATGTTCTAAGCGGTTTTCAAAAATTCAAAATTAAATCTTAATTATTTGTGACTTCCAGAAAGTAAATATTAATATTTCCTAAATATAAAACAGCTTGCTCAATCATCAGCGTCTTTGTAGATACATAAGAATAAGTCCGACATACTTGATCAGCCAAACGTGCTGGGTCACTTGAAATTACGTCTGCAGTCACTTTAGGACGACCAAACAATTATATTTTAAAAACTGATTTCAGATTTGATACAACCAGACAAACTCTTCTCCGTGATCCTAACTCAATGATAGGAAATCAACAATAATAAATCTTTCTTAGATTTTTACCATACGAGGCATCTTCTATTTAATCTTTCAATAGTTGCTCAATTGAATAAACAAAAATTAAAATAAATTACGGAATTTTGATTTTTTTTGTAGATTTTCATTTTACGAAAGTTATAAATGGAGACAACTGTTTGTAATTCTTAGCACCATACAATGTACACCATTCTAACTCAAGAGGGGAAGGATTGATATTGCATTAATTTTAAAATTTCTATTTTCCATCAGGAAACTGTAGGTTAGGTTGATTGGCGGTAGTAATGATTTAAAAAGGAATTGAGGTTTTCCACAAACTCTGATTTTCTAATCCCATATCTCGAAACTATTTCAAACTATGAATTATGATAGTTCAAATAATCTAAGTCTGAAATATCAATGGTTTATACTATCAAAATACGAAGATATAGGGATTTTAAACTCTTAGTTTGTGACAAAGACTCAATTTCTTTGCAGACCATCAAGATAATAAACAAATTCTTTTTACAAGATTCCTATTATCAAGGGTCAGGATTTCTAGTTACATTTCTGGGTTCTTAATGATCTGTTACAAATAATTGTTGAGTTTTTTGATATTTTTGTGAACAAATCAAAAAGACTATATTTAAACTATTGTTGATACTTTAGCAAAAATGTTCGATCCCAGCTCAGCAATGCAACCAGGTGCCTTTAAATAGCCAATTAAATATTCTTTTTTACATTTAACTCAATTTTCATAAATAACTGGCAAGTCATTATAAAACTTAGTTTGTGCTTAAGATTTGCTTAAAACCAATTAAAATTCATCTTTTAATGTAATATTTTTATCTTCTTTCAATTTGTAACTTTTTCTTGTATCAAAGAACAATTGGAAACTTTCAAACTTTGTTAAAATTCTTTTTATGTTTTAGGAGTTTTGAGAAATGGAGCATACTTCATTGATCGTGATCCAGAACCATTTAAACTAGTGCTTAATTATCTTAGAAGTAGTGTACTACTTACAAGTTCTCCTAGTGAACTACAGGTGTGTACTGTGTACTAGGTTATATATTACTAGTCAGTATACTACTAGTCCAACTAGTGAACTACAGGTGTGTACTATGTTATATATAACTAGCTAGTATACTACTAGTGCTACTAGTAAACTACAGGTGTGTACTATGTTGTATATAACTAGCTAGTATATTACTAGTCCAACTAGTGAACTACAGGTGTGTACTATGTTATATATAACTAGTTAGTATACTACTAGTTCTACTTGTAAACTACAGGTGTGTACTATGTTATATATAACTAGCTAGTATACTACTAGTTCTACTTGTGAACTACAGGTGTGTACTGAGTTATATATAACTAGTTAGTAAACTACTAGTTCTACTAGTAAACTATAGGTGTGTACTATGTTATATATAACTAGCTAGTATACTACTAGTTCTACTAGTAAACTACAGGTGTGTACTATGTTATATATAACTAGTTAGTATACTACTAGTTCTACTAGTAAACTATAGGTGTGTACTATGTTATATATAACTAGTTAGTATACTACTAGTTCTACTTGTGAACTACAGGTGTTTACTATGTTATATATAACTAGTTAGTATACTACTAGTCCAACTAGTGAACTACAGGTGTGTACTATGTTATATATAACTAGCTAGTATACTACTAGTCCAACTAGTGAACTACAGGTGTGTACTATGTTATATATAACTAGCTAGTATACTACTAGTCCAACTAGTGAACTACAGGTGTGTACTATGTTATATATAACTAGCTAGTATACTACTAGT